ACAAATTTGAGATTATAATTCGGAATTAAGTATTTTACTGATGTTTTTTATTAGTGGATGCTAGTTATCAACAAATCACATATAGCCTTATATAAATTACAATGATATATATATATATATATATATATATACGTAAGAAAGGGCAAAGGGCGGGCTCTGTAGGTAATTTTTTACCAACACTTGAGTTAAAACGAGGACTTAACGTTTAAACTTTAATATTTCGCAGAAATTTTGAATTTTAACATTGGACACAGAACTGACGGGTTAAAGTTAGTACAAACATTATCAATTTTTTAAAAATTGTTATTATTCGAATCTATGTTAAAATATGAAAAATACATTATTTAATGTTTTATAACTTGTAGTGAAATTGAAAAATTTAAGGTAAATTGAATATATTTTAAAATAAAATCACTCAAATATTTGATTCAGGAGTTACGCCAAGGTACTGATGTTTTGAATATTTATTATGTTTTTCTACAAACGTGCTTTTAAAAAAATACATTAAAATTTAGTGGACAAGTTAAAAAAAACTGGATTTTTGTAATATACTAAAATATTTAAAAAAAAATTAAAATACCTACTCTATTGACTGATGGCATCAAGTTGTCCAACTTTTGTAGAATTATCCATATATTATATTTAAGTTTGGACATTTCTAAGAAATGTAACAAAAAATAATTGTTGTCATTGTCATTTTTTACTTTCTTCTTGAACTGAAAAATTGGGTTAGGTTTTAAAAAATATATAATTAAAAAAATTTGGATTCACTTTGTACAAATGTTAATAATATTACGCCATAACGTAAGTATGCAAATTTAAGTATTTGCATTAATCTGTGTTTCTCAGTAATTTTTGTTGGTGATCACGATTTGCCTAAAGCTATTTTTATGTTATGATGTTTTAAAATTGTAAACATTATTAAGATATTTGGAATTTTGTTAAAGAAAATTCAAAAGTATATTTTCTATCAAGTGTTTACGATTTGTATACAAATATACTATAGGTATACTATACTTTATCTTTGACGAACACAATAATTGTTAAATTATTAAAGCCATTTTTTGTTAAAAATTTAACATCTGTCAACTGTCAACGGATTTAACCCTACTTTTTCCCAATTCATAATAAAGCTAACCAGCCCGTGACCAAAAGCCACTGTTGCTAACTTCAGCCATAAAGTCACAGCTTATGAATGGGGGAGTAGATAAAGAAATTCAAACTATAATTTTACGGAACAATCTAGTTTCTACTAATAAACTGTTATACCTCAACAGGTATGTCTATATAGGATATTTATTTATAGACTATTAAAACAAATACAAAACCATATGAACAGACGTTGCTACCTATTATTAAACTTATAATATATACTTTAAAGATAAACTTAAGTCTTTAAATTCATTAAAATAACACAAAAAGTATGTCGAACGGATATTTCTTATTGTTTAAATTAGACTTAAGGGTGCGATTCATAAAATGTTACAACAATATAACACAAGTAAATATTATAAAAAAATATTGCAAGAAATTGAAGTCGGATAGGCCTGTGAAAACGTGTGTAGGTTTATTTTGCAACCTCAAATCTGTCAAAATCAATTTTTTTTTCGTACTCTATAGTTTATCCAGATGACGCACAATGAGTTTATGCACTTTTCTTTCGTGACGTAGCATAAGAGAGTCAACGCTAAATAAAACATGCAACAAAATTTGAAATAATGATTAATATAATATATTATGCATAGTTAAAAAAAATCAACTCTAAGCAACACTAATTAGAGTTCCCACAGATCCACACTAAATAGTGTTGTTTTATAACACTACAATTAGAGTTAATTTGTGGTGTAATTTTCCCCAAGTAAGCAAGTATGATTTAACACTATAGCACTGAGAATAAAGTAATTTTACACTGTATTAAAAAGTGTTAATTTACCCAAACCTACTTCTACACTTCCTGAGTAAAATCCTACTTTTGTTCAGTGTAAATTAACACTACTTTGGAAAAGTTCTAATTTTAGAAAGGTACTTTTACTCTTTTAGTGCAAACTTCTAGTGTAAATTAACACTATTATTTAAGTAAAACCCATTGGTGGTAGTGAATAAAACGAAAAGGTAAATAAAGAGAAACATTTATTTGGAACAAAAATCTATGACAATTATCAAAATCGGTGCCTTTTAAAATATAATTTTATATTTGAGTCGTTTGGCTGGCTTAAGCAAAATGGTTTCTTAAAACGTACAAGTTTTAGATCAATGCAATGTTTTACTGGCTGTCAACTTGTGAGCAATGAATTATCTTGAGAATTCATCAGTAATCCATTTTTCTGTTAAAAAAAATGGGTGATCCCATTGGTAGAGAGGCGTCAGGCGGCTGTATGTCGGGGATTTACCACACGTGTACAAATTTTTTATAATATTAATAAAAATGTAGGTAGGTATAGGTTAATATAACAACCATTACGCTTGAAAATAAAAAGTAAATCAAGTTTGTATGTATTTATATTATTAATGTTACATGTACCCGACCTACTGCCGTAAATTATTATTATTATATATAATATAGGTCGGGTATGGACATCCTTTTAACATATTGGTATTAAGGCTTAAAGAAAAAGGAAGTATAATACTTACCAAAAAATAAGAATGTCCCCTTATGGATTCACCGTAATTAAAATCTAACTGAACAAAAATGCCACATTTCCACAACGCTGTATCTCCGGATATGTACTGCGTAGATAGGTACCAACCAAACATTTTAAAACGCATTTCGGTTATTACCAGTTTTTTCAGTCTATTTTGCCACTATTGGTGTAATTTAACATTGTGATACAATGTGCACTAGTAGTGTAAAGAAAAAATAGCTCTTAGTAACATCAAAACAGACAAAGAAATTGGCATGCACAGTAGTGTACATGTTGTCACTATTATTAAGGGGTAATAAACAGTTTTTCTACCCTTTTGATTTATTTTAATAATAAATATTGTGAATGTACCAATGAATAATACTCATATTCTTTAAATGTGTATGTGTATTAAACACATTTAAAGAATATGAGTATTATTCATTGGTACATTCACAATATTTATTATTAAAATAAATCAAAAGGGTAGAAAAACTGTTTATTACCCCTTAATAATAGTGACAACATGTACACTACAGTGCAGGTAGGTATACCTAGTGTATTTTGTAGTGAAACTTTTACACTCTAATATTTTTACCCCTACACTAAAAATGTACACGGTCAAAATTTTTTACTGTGTGCAACATTAAATAATAAAAAAATGTAATTTTTATCTTGACATGCTAGTCTATGCGAATCTTTTTTGTGAGTTAAATATTTGTCTCACAAACCTAGAAAATATAAAACATTTACATGCGTTTAGTAACATCACGAAATAATTTTTCTTCATCCAACTCGTTAGTCATCCAAAAATTATAGTCTTCGTCTTTAAAATCCTTTTTTCAAAACCTTATTTAATAGTTCTTCCTTTCTCATGTTATTTGCTTTGCTAAGCCTTGTTTTGGGGTCCTTCTTTAATTGTTCTTCTCCATATTATTAGGTCTACCTATTTTTTCCTGATTCTTATATTTGAGTGCTTGTCGTGCTATGCTTTTGTTATTTTTCTATCCTTGTGTCATATGTGTTTCATTCTACTTTTCCCAATAGTTTTTTCCACTTTTTCTTTTATGAAGATATTGGTTTGATATTGTGTGGGGCCAGAATATACAACTTATAATTTTCAAGCATTTGGTAATAAAGGTTTAATTTTTTTAAGATTGGTTCTAGTTTTCGAGAGAGTCATTATTTTTTTTTACGATTTTTTAATATTAATGACCATTGTATTCAATTAAAAGTGGTAAACTAGAAATGAAACAAGTTGGATTGTAGTTGTTTATATTGTTTAGGGTCCGTTTTACGCATAAGAGTCCAACAGTAGTCGTTCATTATGCCTTCATCCCAAAATCCTTGGTATCATCTTTCGATGTTTGCTATGTCCTGGTGTAAACGCTTTTCTTGATTTTTGCTTGTATAGCTCAAGTTTTCATTGAAAAAATTAGGATGGGAAAGCAGGCAATGCATCTTAAAATACATTCAAGCTTCAATCTTATACAATTTGGCAACAAACTGCCGATAATTAGCTTAAAATCCGGGGATTTGTGGTTACCGAGAAAGTGGTGGAAAACACGAAATGAACATTCAATCAATAAAGTTTTCATCATCCATTAATTTCTTAATATCATGTCCAACAAATATTCCTTATTTGATTTTGCATATGACAATTTGATTAATTTGATAATTATTGAAAAGCTGAACTGTTAAGAACATGAAAACTAGAACCAAACGGATTTCATGTGATCTGAATATTCTATTCTAAATAAAATATGGTCATCATTAATCTTATCTAGATAAATATTTAAAAACACCTGCGTTTCGGGTTTAAATTTCTCTAAAACCTAATACAATGAAGCAATTCTAAGGTCGAATTTGGATTCAGAACATCAAAAAACTTTGGTTTGTGTAGACTTGAAAAACTACTCGTAAAAGATTTGAGGATGCTTTTGCCACTTTCGATAATATTTAATTGTGAGTGAAACTTCGATCAAATACCATTATTAAAATGTTATTAGCCAATTATTACTAATTAACTACTATTTGAAATTCGTTATGGTACAAATTGAGCAGGTAAATTATTATTGTTAAAAATTATGATTAGTTTACTCAGTAAAAGCACTAAATGCTATTTTAATAAAGAGTGATTAAAATTCTCGTATGGGGCCAAAAATGTGCCATTTAGAATAAATATTTTTTAAATAGAAAGTAAAAATAAAATCATGTTTCATAGTTTCTTTAAATGGAATGTGTAACCCAAACTACTGAAATAAATCTTAATGACAATTCCTATTAAAATTCGACTTCCATGCTAGTTAGTCTGGATTTCGAAAAAATTAGTTTACATAAATTTGTCTTTTAAATACTAATACATGTTTTTTGTTTCAGATGGAGAGGCAGCGTATACAAATTAGTTTGGAGGGAATTAGTAGCATATTTAGTTATGTATTTTTCGATTAATTTTATATATAGGTTTGCTTTGAACGAAGATCAACAAAGGTAAGATTTCAATATTAAAATATATAATTTTTGATTGATTATTAAGTACTAAATTCATTTGTTAAAAATGCAAAACTTTTAATGTCACTTGTATTAATTAGCACACATTCTCTTTCCGAAATTTCACTAACGTGGTATTTATTATTTTTCAAATTGTTTCACTTTTGAAAACTTGACATTTAAGGCATTTTAGGTTATGTACCTGTCATTTATAGACAACGAAAGAAATCATAAACAATAGTGTATTATTATACGAATGATAATGCGCATAACCTAGAGTGTGATAACATACTTTATCTAAATCAATAAGTAAATAATTAAATGATTTTTAGAAATAAATAAATAATCTAACATCTGTCAAATGGTTAACCTCACTTTATACCAATTTTAAATATTATTTTACTTTTCTTCTTTCAATTAAAAATGCGATTGGTTCTAATCACAGTAAATTAATCAAAACGGCCAATCACTGATTCCTAACAACGTACTCTCTAAAAATGAATTAGTCAAAAATAACTAATTTAATAGTTAATAGTGGCTGCTTTTTTACTTGTGCAATGGTTAACCATCGAATACCATGGTATCCCAAAATTTAATAGCCAATTCTTATGTAAAATTTTACCCTGAATCCGAAAATGTCTTCAAAAGTTAAAAGAGTAGAACAGTTTTTGAGATATAGTCAATTTTCCATTTAATATGGAATTGACTATATCTCAAAAACTGCTCCACTTTCATAACTTTTGACGGTATTTTCAGATTCGGAGTACAATTTTACATAAGAATTGGCTATTAAATTTTGGGATACCATGGTATTCGATGGTTAACCATGGCACAAGTGAAAAAGCAGCCACTATTAACTATTAAATTAGTTATTTTTGACTAATTCATTTTTAGAGGGTAAATATTATTATATATTATTAAATGAGTTCATTGTATACAGAAAAACCCAACATTATGGAGTAGATATCATATCAATCATATTTTACAGCTTATGTTTAAATGTTCAATATGAAGAAATCTGCACAATATCACAATAACAATGGTTGTTTTAAGACTTTAGGAAAACAAATAGGTACAGCATTTAATGAAATTCTAAAGTATTATTTTCAGGTCTACATATCTGATTTATCCTTAAAAAAGTTTTAACATTAAAGGTGCACCTTACACATGTGTTAATACATTATAACAAAATATAAACACAGAATAGGAGATCTCAAATTTAAAACTATTACTATATTAAAAAACAAAATGCAAATTATTTTAACAGTGTAAAATTACAGCACAAATATATGGTAACTGTATGTTGTAAAAAATTACGTATAACCAAATAAAATTTACATGGACATTTTCTAAAAATATTTATAATTACTAATTTTACAGTTCATATTATTTTTCTTCTGTATTTTTATTCTGGAAAGTTCATAGTTGAGGTGAATTTTACCTGTAAATTTACAGCAAAGGTGCAAATTTCATCTGGAAATTTAAGGTTAGAGTTATGGCAAATTTGTAAAATTTATATGGAAATTTAGGGTCAAGTAGACATTAAAAAAATGATATTTCTCTAAATACATAGGTATATCATTAAATCTTAAATAACATCATCTATTAATATTAAACATAAACATTTTATTAATATATAATTTAAAAAAATCTTTTTTAAAAACTAATAAGTAGATGCACTTGTTTTGTTTTTACCAAATATTTTGTCATAAAATGCCTTCTTTAAATGTCAAAAATATTATCTTTCTAAAAAGTTTTCTTCCTGAAATAAAGCGTTTTCAAAAAAAGCGAGACATTCTCAACTAAAAAAAAATCATAGAGATAAACTTGTTTTGTTTTCACCAAGTGATTTATCATAAAAAGACCCCTTTTAAAGTCATATAGATTATCTTCCTAAAATAAAGTTTTTCTGCCTCAAATGGAGAATTAAATAAAAAATTACAATTTTTAAATTACAAAAATAATATCTCGAAAAAAGACGAACTTGTTTTGTTTTCAACAAATAATTTGCCATAACAATGTCTTCTTTTTATGTTACATAGAATGTAATACATACATTATCTTGCTAAAATAAAGTTTTCTGCTTCAAAATGGGAATTTTCAAAAAAAGCAAAAAGCAAAAAATATAATATATTAAATTTTCAAACATTGTTATCGTAATACCACAAAGGTTTCTTCACACTTAAGAAGAACTCTAGAAGAATGAAAAAATTACATACGTACTTAAAACCTTGTAACTTTGTAATCACCCATAATATAACAAGTGGTATGATTATTATCGATGATATTTTCGAATTGAAACCGAGCTGCAGATTTCAAGAGTCCGCAGGACGAGTGAAATGTGCTGCTTCGGTTTCAATGAGTAAATATCATCGATAATTAATCATACCACGAAATATATTTAGTGAGAAAATATAATGAATTTTAGGATTTAACGAACCTTATTTATTCAAACTTACCTTAATTTTATTATCGTTAACACCAACCCATCGATCTTTTAGAGTTTATAATTCATTATTTTAATCATTAAAAAAACACAGTATTTAAATGTCAACAAATGTAAAATCAAGAAAAGTGTCAAAATCCTTAGCAACGTGTAAACAAGGTAAAAATATTGTAACTGTGATAAAATACGTAACTATGGAATACTGGCATTTTATTGTTTCTAATTATAATGAATTGTATTGTCAAAATAATAAAACGCGATGTTTAACTTTTATTTGTAATTAAGTGAATAGCAAATAAAAATGAGTAAAAAATTAAACACACCTATGCGGAACCCACTTTTATTAAAGAGTATATAAATATGTTTAAAGAGTATATAAATATGTTTAAATATGTTTAAAAAAATGAATATTATTTTGTGCTTCACGGTATTAATTTAACAATGTTTTTATGTACATCCATTTATAAGTGTACTTGCGCGACCATATAAAATTGTATTTATGATTTCTTTCCTTGACTATTCATTGACAGGTACAAAACTTAAAATGCCTTAAATACCAAGTTTTCAAAAGATCGCGCTCCGCATCAAATGTCAAAGTGGGACTTTCGTGTGTGGAGCATAATCCATAGCAAGCAACTGCTCTAAAATTATTAATTTCACTAACAAAGACATTTTTTTCAGGATTTTTGAAAGGTGGAGAAATTTGTAAGAAAAATAGTAACTAACACGTTTAGAACTAATTTTAGAACACATCAAAAGTTTTGGATTTTTTTCACATTTTAAGCTTAACCAGTAAACTTCTTTATGCTTTTAGCTTTAGCTTTTTATTGCATTGTATTTTTTATTTGCAATCCTACACAAAAGTGTCCAGAACAAAAAAAAAAGATTTGACATCGTAGTAAGAAACGAACTTTTTCTCAGCATATTAAAAAAATTGCACATTTCCTATACGTTTTTAATTGAGAAAGTGGCTCAGTCTTAAACTGTGGAAAAAATTTATCTCTATCTCCACGGTTACCGTCCAATTGAACGATCCGATTTGAATTTTCTTCACGGTAGAAATTAATATTAATAATAAAGATGTGGTTCATTATAATATATATAAAATTTATTTTCTTCAAAATTAATTGACATTGTCATTTCTCATAGAATCTGGTTTTGGTAAATACCAAAAAAGTATGGTAAATTCTTTAATAAAATTAGAAAAAGACTTCAACTCTCAAGAAGTGGCCATTTTAATTCGGATGAATTACTCCACCCCGCTGTTTTTATCTTAAAGTTTGCTGTATGTATTTTCGACAATACCTCGCCACGTCTGTCTATTCCTGATTTGCTCTTTCCATCTGCTTTCTTTAAATATTTTTTAGATCATTTTGTACTTGTACTCTACTGGTATCCACTCTGATATTTTCCTTACTACTTCATTTTTCTCTTTTCTTTACACATGTCCAAATCTTCTGATTAACCCAACTATATTTTCCTGTCGTTTTATTAATTTATCATTATTCCCAGATATTTAAACCTAGTTACCACTTGATCCTTAGTTCTGTTTTTTCCATTTCCATTTTGATCAATCTCTCGCTATTTTTGACTGTGATTGCTCAAAATATAAAGAAAGGAAGTAATCTACTGAAATGTTTTTAAATATGTTTTATTTAATTATTTGAAAAGAAATGTCTAACCGAAGGTTTTTGAAGTGGTGAGTCCAAATTCGACCTCAGAATTGCTCCATCGCATTAAGTTTTCGAGAAATTCTTAGCTAAAAGTGGATAATAATATTTGAAGGTATAAAGGGTGGGCCATGTTTATGTTGAATTATAAAATAGCAATGAGAACAAGAAAAACTGATTTTTTTCAACGAATTTTGCTTTATTTGATACAATGTTTCTTCCGATTAAGTATGGCAAATGATTTTATTTAAGTGGCCAGCTCAGCTGGCTCGGCAGTAGCCCATCCTGGAACACCAATTTTCGAGCATTTTGTCAAAAGTTTGCTACGTGTGAATTTTCCGTGGCCCAAATCCTACAGTTTTGCTTGTTGACAACCTCCGAGGTAAAAATGCGCCTTATCCGAAAAGATGATTTTTCTTGCAAAATTAGGGTCATCGTTCAACTGGTTTAAAGCCCACTCAGCAAAGCGAAAACGTTGTGGATGGTCAACTTGCTTTAACTCCTGAACAAGCTGGACTTTGTACGCAAACATACCGAGGTCTTTGTGCAGAATAATCCTCAGAGTGGTTCAGGAAAGGCCGAATTGTTGACATCTGCGCCGAGTTGATGTTGACGCGTTCATGCGTACATTTTCGGCCACAGCAGCGATTGCTTCAGGAGTACTAGGACGAGCATGCGAAACATGTTTTATGTTCACCAGCATTCCATTTCTGCGCAATTTTTTGATCAAATTTGTAATACTTGACGGCGCCTCATTTCTTCCAAACGCAATTTTCTTGCCGTCTCTGCCGTCACAGTCACATTCAAAGTAAGTTTTGAGTATTTCGAAACGTTGATCCAAATTTATTCGGTGCATATTTTGTAATCGGAAGGTTAAACCACTGTCAGCAATTGATGGCGCTTAAGTTGAAAGCTTCATTAATAGCACGTAGTTTAAAATTCAACTTATAGATGGCCACCCTTTATTAATAGTCAAACTTATCCCCTTTAAAATCCTTCTAGACATCGTTAGAGGAAGAGAAGTTATTTTAGATGAAATAACTACTTTGGTAGGAACAACATATTTCGCGCTATAACAAAACGCCTTTTTCCACGCATCAAATACGTTCGAATGTATAATCTAATTTTAACAATATATTGTATATAGGAATTTGATGTATTTTGTAGACCTGAGTCAATTTCCCTCTTTTTTTTTAGGGTTTTCGAAAAAATTCGCACCTATTTTAGTCAATCTAGTGAAACGATACCAATGTCGTTCGTATTAGGATTCTATGTGTCATTGGTGGTGAAAAGGTGGTGGGAACAGTACAAATTATTGCCATGGCCCGACACCCTTGCCCTGTTTTTGAACGCGGGGATTCCAGGCGCGGTAAGTACGTATTTTTTTATTTTATATTTTATTCTTTACTTCAAAGCATAACGGTTTGGTTTGCCTATTGAAAAATGACCTTGGATTAAAAAAGTTATACAGGGTGTATTAATTATAATGTAAAATACATTTTTCAACCATGCATGTTAACCTTATAAGGTTAGCTATAGCTATAGCTACCTATTTAAATTATTTCCATTGCAACCATTTTTGGATGTTTTAGCTCATAAGGCATTGTGCCAGTTTTGGGACACCCCGTATGTTAAAACATACGTGAATAAAAATTTTTACGAGCGAATAAAACTTTTTCAGTAGATAATAATGCTATACAATTTCTTTACTAATAAATTTGCTTTACAATAAAAATAAAACAATAAAAAACTGCACACGCCCAATTAAAAAAAAATAACTAGCATGTTTAACTTTTTTATTTTAATATTCCTGTTTGTAAAATAATGTAAATATATATATAGATTTGGTAAAATAGAAAAATATATTTGACTTATTTGCTCTTATACAGGGTGTCCCAGAACTCTCGTCACAGAGAAAAAGGGGGCGCCAAATTTAAAAATAAAAAATGTTTAGGTAATAGTGTAGTTAAATGACTCGCCTAGTTCAAAAACCCACTTAATCCACTTTTATTAAAAATCGAACTTGGTATGTCATCAACATGAGGAAGGTCTAAATTACATTTTTAGGTGATAAATACGTTTTAAAATCCGCTTAATCCTGGTTTAAATCACTGTAGTAATCCAAGAATCCATATGTAAGTGATATTCAAACATCGCTAAATCCATTGAATAACAAAAACTTACTAAATATAAATGAAATTACACATGTACACAGAAAATCATAAACAAAACCCACTAAATCCAATTGGGTACATTTTGGCGCCTCTTGGAAATGACTGGCAAAAAAAAACAAATTATAGAGTAACAACTACTTTGAGTACAGACTACTCTACGGTCAAGAATGAGTTAAGTGTTAAGTGACAAGAAAGAGTTAAGCTTCTGAGCGGTCGCACCACCTGTCAACCGGACGATTTTCACTGGCCAAACAAAAGATGTCAAACAAGGGAGGAATAGGCTATCTGCAAAAATTTGATAAGTATCCTCAACTCATCTACATGACCTAACACATAATTTGCAAAATAAAACAAGACAAGGCACAAAAAAACCTTAAACATCGGTAACAATAAAAACATTAGAAAGATAATACCTACTAACCATAAGCAAAACTTCCCAACCGAACCTATCGCGGCATACACCAAAGCTGAGTGGGACAATAAATCTGTCAACAAAACAGTCCAAGATTAACAAAAACGAGACCAAATAAGCATTTGACACTTGAAACATAAACTAACACTCAATAAATTAAGAAATCCCAAACAAAGTAAAAACAGCAAAATAATCAAATTCTATTGGATTTGTAAACACATTAGATTATAACAGAATTGCGCTTGTCATTTGTTTAACTAATAAATAAATTCAATACCTACTTAATTTTGGAAATTAAGTAAAAAAAAAGATAAAACAATTATATCACAAAACGTGCTTTTGCAACACAATAACTAAAAGTTGTTAGAAAAAAAAACATCAAACGCTACAAGTTACATATCCAACTACTGAAATATCTATTGATGGTTTTCGGCCTCAAAACTGAAGACACATGTGCAGGAACAATCCTACTTGGACACGAACAATAACGACAAAAACGTAGATCAAGACGTAGGCTCCTGCAGCAAAATAACAACTCCCGAACTCCATACAGTAATCCCAAATGTTTGGAGTAGTACTAACTGCCTGGTCTAGCGGGTACCGCGTCGTACTTGATTTAAGTCGGCGTAATTGTCCCCCAAACACCAAACTGTCTATCCCTCCAGTCCTACCTCCTTCATGACCCTACTGGGCGTATAGCATCGGCTCGGCGAACACGGGAATGGCTACTAAAACTATTGGCATTTCGCTCTCGAGCCCTAATTAGGAGACAGTACGGGACGCAATGGACATTCGCAACCAGCAAACACGGGTGAAGCCGCGCCGTTGCTGGTGGCGAATGAAAATCGGCGCAAGGAAACAGAGGCCTATGCGGGGCCCGGGAGTGATGAGGCAATGGGGCCGGTTATACGTCTCTTATACTCATACTCAAACTTAAGCTTTCTTGTTTATTATGCTATTGCCTATCAATTTGTGTGTTCAAAATTCTAGTAACCTTATTTCATGACCAGCAGCAAACTTTCGCGTTTCCTCAATAAAATGTTAAGGTGGATTTAGAGGGGTTTGAAACTAGGCGACTCAAATAAGAGCAAAAAAATGGCAGCCAATAGAGCTCTCGATAAGGTTAAACGTGGGAACTGCTAGGAGACTTTAGAACATTGTTGTCCTAAAACTTTTAAACATCTTTTGTTCGACCTTCGGTCATCTATGCTGTGTTTACTATTCTTTCAAAAAGGAATGTCATACTTCAGGACGCCAATGTTTTATTAAACAATCAGTTCTGTACCCCAGAGCCAAAATCTCTAGCAACCACTACAGAATTTCACTCTAGCGGGATTATCTTCCGGCTGCAGGTGCTGCACTGAAAGAAATATATGTTTGTTTTAGCAATGTATGTGGACTACCACATAAAATATATTTACCTTAACCATTTTTATATTTAGTTTTAACATAATATGGTTAAGGCAAATATAAAAATGGTTAAGGTAAATATATTTTATGTTTCATATAAGGACTACCACATACATTGCTAAAACAAACATATATTTCTTTCAGTGTGCACTCGCGTAAAATGAACGTCCTTCATAACCCTGTGAACGGAAAATTGTCGTGCAACTTCCCTTATGATTTTGCTACTATTTGCATCAAAGGCATTGAATTTATTTTCCGCTGTTCTAATACGTTAAGGAGCTGTTCTAATACGTTAAGGAGCATCTTCAATTTCGTTACAACGCGGAACAACTTTAGTCCAGGGGACGACCGAAAAAGCGCTGGAAAAAACTCGTGCTGTCTCCCTAGCATTGCGCCCTTACTCCACATAAATAATCATCATTTCAGAGGAGAAAAACATAACTTAAAATTTTTTATGATAAACAATGACGGGAACAAAAATTGACAGCAGTGACACAATGAAGTGGATTCCAGTCGACCAAATATTTTACATATTATAATATAAACAATGTATCCTAGCAGCTTAAAGAATTGCCTATGGGCATGTATTGAGATTGGCTATCGTTTTTTATTCTTATCTTTCTTATCCTTTGCGTTAGATAATTTTAATTTTCGCATATTTCGCATAACTTTCGGCATTGTCTCTTTTTCTTTGTGGCACAAGTTCTGACATTTGGTTTTATTATTATCTTATTTAATATGGAATCGCTGTATACGAGGTTTGCCTTTTATATTTTGGAAAAAGAAAACAAAAAACAACAATTAATCATCGTTTAAGGCTTTATTGTTTTTCTTTATAAGTTTTTGCATATTTCTGAAGGCCAAATGTTCCTGCAATATTAAATGTATGCTGGTCCCACTTATGCCCAAGGAGGCTCTTAAGAGAACTCACATGACGATTTTGCAATTGCAATATCAGTTCACGCACATCATCAATGTTTTCTGAACCAACGACTAATTTTGGACGAGCTTGAAAAGCAGTGTCTTGGGATAGTGCTACATAACCATATAAAAAATTAAGTTTATCAATGCACTGTTGTTAAGATTATCCACGTCAAAAGTTGTAAAAAGGTTTTACGAGTCAATTATATTTTTTGGCTAAAACAAAAACACAAATTGAACCTGAACATCAAAACATTTTAAGTATATTTTTATCTATCAGTTTTCTTATAAGAAAACTGATAGATCTGTTGTCAGATGGCAGCAGCAAGATCGTCCATACCCGAAATATAAAAGGCAACCCTTGTATGTAATGACAATGACTATAAATTAAATATTAACCTGTAGTGTATTCTTAACACATATTCTTTCATTTCAGAATGAGAGACAAAGACTGATGAGAAGGAACATAGTTAGATATGCAGTATTAGCTTATGTTATAACACTTACAAGAGTGTCCTTAAGGGTGAAAAAGAGGTTTCCCACTTATCAACATATAGTCGATTCAGGTAAGACAATATTTTTTTATTATTAAATACCCTGTCATATTGTTTTATAAAATACTTACGCTTTCGAAATATATCCAGACATTTTTTATAGTACATGTATAATGTGACTACATCAACTTTTTATTAAAAACCTTTCGCCGTTTCAATTACTATTTGCATTCAATTCACGTTGGTTGAAGCACATGTTAACATGTGAACGACACATACCAGAGCCCGAACACACACAATCACAGGAAGCCATATCTTGCAGATGTTAAAAACAAAATCAAAAATTGGTTTTTGTAGTGCATTTTTTGAGTTTTTTTATAAAAACACTGAAAGAACTGTTTGGGAATAGTTACTAAAAAATCAAGTAAATGATTTCCAGACTCATATCAAGCTTTACGGCTTTGTATGTAAATATAAAAATTCGTAACCGTATAGGTACTATGCTCCACACCTCAAAGTCCCACCACGTGACCACGTACGGAACGCAGTCTTTTGAAAATTTGGCAAGTTAATAAATCTTTTTAGTATCACAATAACAATGGTTGGTTTAAGAATTTAGGAATATAAATACTGCATTTAATGAAATTCCAAACTGTAAGGTGCAAAATAAGTGATATTTTTGTGCATTGGGTCTACATTTCTCCATAAAATAATTAAAGCTAAACAGCATTTATTAAAAAAAATCTAACTTCTCTATTATGAAATAAGAATATCTGTATCAAAGGTAGGTTAAAGTATTAGAACAAAAAATATTATCTAATTTTATATTTTAAGGTTAGAAAAATCTATTTTGACCAAAATAAATAAGTGAATTATTTGAAAGAGTGTGTTAATATGGTCATAAATAAATATAGGTATACTAAATAATTGTTGAATATAGTTCAAATTAAATTGAAGCTATACTTTTAACGACAAAATTTGTGCATACCTCTCGGCATACTTACTTTAAGTTAGATTATGAGAAAACAAACAATTTTTAGAGAAACTTGCAATGTGAAAATATTTAATACTCCCATGACATGTGATTTATTAAAATTTTTAAAGTTATAATGATTTTTTGATGTAGATCAAATTCAGTCGAAGCTTTTTAACTATTTGTATTGACAAAACATTATGTAGGTACACTTTAAGCTGGATAAGAAAAACTACCACATTTTTAAATATCATATCATACAGTCTTTTAAATAATCCAAAATACTTATTTATTTTGGTCAAAATAAATTTCTCTAACCTTAAAATTACAAAATTAGATGAAATTTTTGTTATAATATATACCTTTAAAACAGATATTCTAATTCCATTATAGAGAAGCTAGATTTTTTTTAATAAATGCTGTTTAGTTAAAATTATTTTATGGAGAAAACCAGATATTTGGACCAAATGCACAAAAATAATACTTATTTGGCACCATAAACTTTAGAATTTCATTAAATGCAGTTTTTATATTCTTAAATTCTTAAACCATCCATTGTTATTGTAATGTTATAAAGATTTATACATTTTTAACGCCTAAACATAATATTATTTCTTTCATTGACTATACTTTGACAGATACATAACCTGAAAATCCTTTAATGCCAAATTTTCAAAAGACTGCGTTCCGTACGTGGTCACGTGGTGGGACTTTGAGGTGTGGAGCATAGTACTTTTGTTTTTTAGTAATTACAAAACCAACTTAAATAAATACAAAAACGTTTTAAATGTGTCTTTTACGCATTGGGTAATTTCGGATTGCTAACGTACAAATTTAAAATTACCAGAAAAATACTAGAAAAGTATGACAATTTTGTACACAAAATTAAAATTACAACTAGATTTTTTTTAATAAAATAAGGCACTACTACTGCTATGGAACATAAAATTCGTAAATATTAATAAAAACAATCATTATTATTACTTTATATTTAAGAGGTTAAAATCAAGGATTTTGGGTTCAAACACTAATAAAACGTAATCATCCTGTGCAGTGCTATTATCTAACAACAAAATGAGTGTAGTTCAAATGTTGTATAACCAACTAGACAGTGATTTTTCGAATAAATGAATACATTTCCGGCCCAACCTATTATTATTTAAAACCACGAATATAGTTATAACTATAGTTGTTATTTTTTAAGATTTTAATACAAAAATTAAGTTATAGAACGTTAAAAATCTAAAATTTCTGTAGAAAAAAATCACTTAAAAATTTACATACATTGGTTTGCCAATAATAATATGCTATGTGTATTTCTGCGAATCCACATTTTGTAATGTTATTTCCACAAACAATTATTTACAATTTTTCTCTTGGAGCGCGCTGCAGCGTTTCGAAAAACTGAATATGTTTCAATATTTACGAATAAATCCAATATCTGTTTCTAGCACGGTATTACACAAGGTGTCCCTAAACTTAGTGGCATAAATTTAGGAGCAGATTAAGCAAGTCAAAATAAGACGAAAATCTAAATAAATATTTTTTCTAATTACCTATGTTTAAAAGATACAGGGTGATAAATTGTTACTTATAAAATTTTTTTTTTCTACTGTGGTAGACTTGGAAAGGTGATTTTTGCGAATAGTCACTTACTACCAAAACACATATTCAAACATAATTAAAATTGTTCGAGTAAACACAGTGTCGTAGAAACAGGGGTTGCTTAAGCTTATTGTTCCATACATACTTTGAGGTTAGGTTTTTATACCATTTGATGCAATTTTTCGATTACTCAGTTCGGCTACTATTAAAAAGGTGTAGGTACATCCCAAACTTCGATAAAATAAACCGTTTCCGAGATTACAATAATTGTTATATCGCATTAAAGGACTAGAAGTTATATGATTACAGATTTTTTAATTGAAAAAACTACAATTTTTTTACTGTGACGCTCAGGGCAAAAAGTTTCCAGGCTCATGGAATGCTCTTTTTGGTTTTTTAATTAAAAAATAAAATTTGTTATCCTATACCTTTTAATCCTTTTAAATAATGCGATATAACAATTATTGTAATCTCGAATATCTCGGAAACGGTTTATTTTATCGAAGTTTGAGAGGTACACCTTTTTAATGATATCCGAACTGTGTAATCTAAAAATTGCATCAAATGTTATAAAAACCTAACCTCAAAGTTTGTATGGGACAATAAGCTTAAAGCAACCCCCGTTTCTACGACACTGTGTTCACTCAAACAATTATAATTATGTGTGAATATGCGTTTTGGTAGTAAGTGACTGTGCAAAATATCACCTTTCCCAGACTACCATAGTAGAGGTCACTTTATCACCCTGTATCTTGGAAACATAAGTAATTAGGAAAAATATTTGGGTTTTCGTCTTATTTTGACTCAATCTTTTTCTAAATTTAAGCCAATAAGTTTAGGGACACCTTGTATATAAGTCCGTGGTTTATAGGTTATGTTTAAAATGCTTCAACGTATTTAAATCGTTTTACAACGGAGGTAAAGTACATACTAGATTTGCGAAATTTTAATTTTAAAAATAATGTATCGACTTTATACTAAAATACGCTGTAAATGGTTTTATAACCAGTGTCAAAGTATTTGGTTGTTTGGAATTTTTTTTGCATTCGTAAATCTTGACAAAGTAAGCATGGAATTTTTAACAGTGTGGCTTTTTGAATTTAAAAAACATTTTTGTGTATACATCCCAGTGGAATTTACTTAAAGCTCATTAAATTAATTTTTTCTTTTAACTCGATGACTCACATCAATTTTTAATGCTAATTGCTATTGAAAAATCCACACAATAGCATGTCATTACTGAATTTTATTTCATAAAACCAATAACAATTACTTTATATGGGCAATTACACACAAAAATATATTTTTTGAATATTAAAGGTGGATTTAAATTTACACGTGGAATAGCTAAATTACTGTTTACAATCTCATAGGTGATTATTTTTAATTGATATAAAGCACTAAAAATAATAAATTAGCATTAATTATTATTAATAACTTAAATGTAAATAAATACTACATTTATATTCCTATAAATATCTTATACTTGCTTAAACTTGCGGCTTTGCCACCAAATAATAAGGGATATTTTAAATAAATCAAAATTTATTTATTCTATCTATCTATATCTCTTCCTCTCTGGCTCATAAAGTTTATGACATAATCTATACAGGGTAAGTCATTTAACTTGAAAGAGGGAACAGGGGTAACTTTTAAATTTCCAATGGAACACCCTATTTTTTATTGCAGATTCGGATCATTTGACTAAAAATAAGTAGATTTTGTCTAAAACATTTTTTCATATTTGTAATAGATGGCGCTGTAATAAAAAAAATCTATTTTGTTCTGTATACGGTTCTCCAATAATTTTTGAATAAAATACTTGGTTTTATTTTTTAAATTTATTTGTTTTTTAAATTTTAATTAAAGTAGGTGCCCACTACAATGCATTTATTAATTCGCATTTCGTTTTAATATTCTGTTAACACTGCTCTGGGATATTCCCAAATCTCTGGATAATTCTCTTGTGCTTGCATGAGGATTAGCGGCCGTTGCTGCTAATACATTAATTTCATTATTTCCACCTGTGACTGTTGCTCGACAAACTCTCTTTTTCGGTTGAACACTCCCGTTTGTAGTAAACTGCTTGACTGTACGGTGAAATGAAGTATGTGATCGAATTTTATCCGGAAAACGCTGAGCGTAGATATTAAAAGCATTATCAAGATTCCTGCCTGCTTCTCCTTAAATCAAAATCATTTCTATTTTTTCTTCTACTGTTAAAAAATTCATTATGAATAACTGCTTAACGAAAGGAGGTCTTTTTGTTTGCAAATTAATATTCGAACTAAATTGATTAAATAATGCTTAACTATAAATAGTTTCTTTCTACCTCAATAAGAATTATTATTTATAACTAAATACCATTGTTTTATACCTCAATTAGGATTAAATTAATTAATTGACAAAATAATGTTTTTTTACCTCAAATCAGGTATTTTTATTAAAAATAGTACAATAATCGTTTAAATTAAAGGATTTAATGCTGACAGATAAAAAGTGACCATGGTGCGCAATTGATAATTATCACCGAATAAAATAATTATTACCAAAAAAAGTGATTTTTTATTATATATTTTTATTCTTAAAGATGGGCCTTTTTTGGCTAGAAGCTGTTTTATGATGGTCTTGACTGACTTGAAGATAATTTGGTTTTATTCACAAAGGAGACGACTACTCTGTGGTTTTATTTAAGCGGTTTTATAGTAGTATTGCAATGCCTACTAGTGAATTAACAAAAAAAATAAGGATCCGAATTTACTTAGGTATTTTTAACACATTTAACTAAAAACTTTGTTTGGAGATATTTTATCGGAATCTCAGAAAATGCTGACAATTTTCAAGAAACGGTAATGGCGCCTTATTAATATAATTACCTACTCTAAGCTGCTACTTTCATGTCATAAAATAAGTATACTTATATATATCTTTCCTGAGTTTTTGCTTAATTATTATTTGAATTTCAAATTTAGTGCTATTTATAGATAAACATTTATTTCATTTAGCAAAACCGGCGCTGATCTGCAAATATACTATCAATTTATCTATAAATAGCACTTGGTTTGTAATTTAAATAATAATTAAGGAAAAACTCGGTAAAGATAATTATTTTATTACATGAAAGTAGCAGCGTAGAGCAATTATTTTAATAAGGTTTCTTGTGGCGCCAATCCTATGCACTTTTTTAAAAACGAGTTGTTAACAGATTGATTTCGATGAACTAGAATTTTACCTATTTTACATCCTTAGTGTGTCTCGTTAAAATGTTTCCTTATTGACTTCTTTCAGTACCTACTACACAATGTACATTATACATACAGCTAGTGAACGTGAAAGTATTTTTGGTTTTAAATGTTATTTAATCGAATTTAATAATACGCCACGTCAGGTTTTTAAAAGATTCCAACCCAAGAGTGGACTAATTCAGTTTTTTTAATATAACGATTTCTTAAAAAAGTAAAAAATTCAAAGGAACAAATTTGATTTATAGTTTCAAATAAAACATTTTTTAGAGAGAAGAAAATTTAAGGAAGCAATTCTGAGGTCGAATTAAAATTCAGTGCTTATTTTTGTAGTTTCACCTGTCTTTTTGAAATAATAGATTATAGAAACCATTGTCCTTTTATCAACAAATAAATTTGAAAGTAAACCCACATGATAAATGACTTTAACTTAAAAGTTAAAGTCTTTAACGTATAAAATTAATACTAATTGTATTTTAAATTTTGTACATTAGGTATACCTTTTTGGATTTATTGTTCGTACGTAGCTTTAACAGAAATTAGTCATTTTCTTAGCATAAATACATTAATACTATGCTCCAAATCATTTACTACCGCTTTGACATTTGAATAAGGAATGCAGTCAAATAATAATTTATATCTGTTAGTTTATTGCCAATTCTGTCTAATTTTCTAAAAATAATACAAAATATGTTACCTTCCAGTGACCTTTTAATACACATTGACAAGTTGTGGCTTTATGGCGTTTTTGTCATATATATGGTATATCAAAATAAAAAGCCCTAACTGCAAATAAAACTTTATTCCAATATCTCACATAAACCATACACTTCTATCTCAGAGTTTTCAGACGTATAATATTATTTACCCTCCCTTTTGGCATATTTATTTTTGAATTTTTTTCGTTTTCTTCCTGCTGTCTATTTTAATTCTCCCTTGCTGTAGTTTTAAGGTCAGCACTATTTAAAAAATCTTCTTTGCTTTTGAAGGAAAACTTTGCCAGCAACATCAAACAAATATTTTTCTTCTTCTTCTTCTACAGTGTAATGGCCTTTCCCTTCCGGGATTTAGCCAGCTTATTATGTTTTAATTTAAATTTAAATATGATCAAGGATCTCAATCAAGAGAATCTGAGTTTAACTCATTCCTTGAATCATTTATATAATATTTTCTTTCCACATATGTGTTCATCCACACATACATTCAAATCATCCATATAATTCTTCTTAAAAAACTATTAATTTTTTTCACTTTTTCTTTCATACTTTATATATATATCTTCCACTTGTACAAACCATTTAATCACTACATGCATTAAAAAGGAATTTATCCATATATTTATTCAGTTCGTTTTCCATAGATTCACAGATAATAAATAACATTTTTCATTGCTGACACTCCATTTTATAGTTCAATTTCAACCATGCACCATATTGCAGATGGCGGTGTGCCCTGATATTTCTTTAAATATTTTATCCATCCATCGTGAAAATCATTCGTAAATTAAATCAATCTATTGTAGACCTTATTTATTTGTGCTGGGATTCCGATTTTGTCCCTCCAGGGTCATAATTGACCAGTCGTCTCGAAGAATAAAACCTGAATGCAAACAAATATTCAAGATCCATTTTGAACATATTCTCACGCACAGTATTATTTTTCTTTGACGAGTACGGTGCTTGTTGAGAGCTAATTATCGTTTATACAGTTTTGATAGTTTTCTTACACATGAATGGTCTGTTTATAACACTGACAAAGTCTTGCCCTTTTCTAAATTGTGAAATTAAGTAAAGCATAGACACAAATAAACATAAACATAGACCACAAATATAAAATACTTTTTCTTTGTACCTAATACACGATTTAGTATTTTCCTTCATAGAGTTAATGAAAATAAATAAATTTTGACTGTTTATTTTAGGTCTTATGATGGAGAGTGAACGTAAAATATTCGAGCTGATGGACCAAAAAACGCCAATGTCAAAATATTGGATGCCTTTAGTATGGGCGACAAATATAATTAACAGAGCTAGAAAGGAGTCCTTAATAACCAGCGACCATATTGTCCAGACTTTACTCACTGAACTTTCCGACATTAGAAGAAGATTAGGTGCTCTCATAGGCTATGATACTGTCAATGTGCCATTGGTATACACACAGGTAAGTCAATTATATTTATTTATACTGTCCAAAATTCAAATTCAAATTCAGCTTTACTTTTTTTTCAATAAATTCTGTTTGATAGATATATCTTAAAAATAACTATAAAATTGTCTTTAATTTGATTTTAGGTTTAAATTATTATTATTAATAGTTGTTTCTAGATTGTTTTAACTAAATCCCTTTCACTACTGTTCAAGTATACTATAGTTTTTATTTGGGTCAATATTTGATAATCCGCCAAAACAGGTCCCCTAAGTTTTAGATACAATAAATACACATTTTAGTAATGATTAACGTGAAAAGTGTAAATATTTCAATTCAGTCAAACAAATAAGTCGTCTAAACTTAAACAGCATTTAGCATTATTAAAAGCGTTGTTTAAGAATTCTTTAAAGTCTCCACTCAACGGTAAAATACCATTATATTATGTATTATATATAATATTATGTTGCCATGAGTTCTTAGGTATATTTTGTTGTTTAAAATGCAAATATAAAAATGGTTGATTTTAAGGTTATGTTTGTGCAAAAATTATTTTTACTAATTTCTTAAAAATGTCCAAACTTAAATATAAATTATATTAGGTAAAGTTATCATTAGTTAATTCTGCACCAACAAATGTACTTACCGAATTGGATCCCGATTTAGTTCTGCTGTGCAATTGAACAAAATTTGTCAAGTAAGACTTAAGGCAGAATTCTGCCTTCCTCTCTTTTGTGAAAAAAATACCTATTTATTTAAAAATGATGTACAGTTCGTATGCTTTAAATATATTGTTGACAATTCTTAAATTCACGCAATGATTTTGAAATCCACCAGATGGCGCGCGCGTTGCGAAAACTCGATACTTCTTTAGCGTAAATGTTTGGTTTTCAACGAGTGCTAGACGTCATATTAACTGCCGGGTGAGTTTTACATTTTGATGCTATTTTTGTAAAATAAATTTAATAATAATTTTTTATTATAAATTCAACAATTATAAAGGTACAGACCTAAAAGTATTTAACATTTTATTTAGGATAGTATGATATTAAATACGAAAGTTTCATTTCAAATTAGAGCGAATTGTTAATTAGTCTCCCGGAATTTTTGCCACGTTTTAACCCGTAACCGGTACTGTACGACTTTCAGGACATAAACGGTAGAGGAAGTGAGGGTATTTTGGAATAGTAGTTTAAAAAAAAATAGCAAAAAATTTAAATTTAAATTATTTCAATTAAAATAAATAACATGTCCAAGATCTACATTTGTACTATGCCATACGAAAATTTTAAACTATTTAAAATACTTTAAAAGGATTTTTTCACTAATGAAAAAAAAAGTGTAAAAAATCTCTGTTTACGTAACATGAAGTTAATTTGGAATACCACCAATTTGGAATATTTTAAAGTAGCAGCAAATGTTTTATATTAAAAAGGTTAATAAAACATTTTAAAAAGGTAACCAAATATTAATTAAAAGAGAAAATTGGATTGATTATCAAATATTACAAAAAATGAATATAATTTGGAATATTTAAAATTTGCATTATTTATAGTATTCCAAATTAGCAATATAAAGACCTACGCCATAATATGTAAAAAAAACGTAAATGCTTTAACATATCGAAAAAGTACAATTAACAACTAAAAATATAACCCTTTACTTACCTGAGGATACAATTTAAGTTAATTTAAAGATACAAATCGAAGCTATGATTGCCGATTTAATTACCACTAAAAAAGTTTTACTTACCCCACAAATAATTTTTCACATGTGTTGGCCCTCTACCATAAATCAAAATATCTACAAAATCACATGTCCACAAAATACAGGCTATTCTAGTAGTTTATTTCATATTTAACGAGATGGCGCTAAGCATAGCCTCAATATTTAAGTATTCCAAATTACCAACAGTATTCCGAATTACCCCCACTTCCTCTACTAAGGGGTCTGAGAGACACCTGCCTTTTAAAATTATAATTTATATTATTTTTTTTATCTGAGGCTTTGGGGATACTAGGAAATATATATAAAGTTAGAATATCACCAAAAATAATACCTGAATAAAAGAAAAATTTAAACAAATAGGTTTTAATCAAAACATGTACAAAAAGTGCAGTAGTGCAAACTTTGTGATTAAACTATAAAAAATATTAAACCAAACAAAATAAAACGATCTTTATTTCGAAGAATATATCTAAAAAATAACATAAACAAAAAAAATTTAAATATATCTTTTTTTAACAGCAAAAATAACTGTTTCAAACTATAGCTAATTTTTACAATTATTTCGTCCATAGTAACTTTTTTGTTTTTTTTTCCAAATTCTTAAAAAAATTCAAATTCTTCACTATCTGACCCTATAAAATTATTTTCTATAGACTCTTCACAGACAAGTCCTGAATCGCTGCTGTGATTATCTTCAACGACATAATCACTATAATGGTTATGTAGTATACTACAGTCACCTATATCACTTTTATCGCTGTTTATTTCATAAAACCACTACATTACAGTTTCCTTAAAGCCTTTCTTATCACTTTGGACACTTTTAGAAGGCCCTTGTTGCGAATCCATAACGAATTAATTGTTTTATAAAAATTACGTAAACGGTACGCAGTGGTCTACTAGACACCTCAACACTTTGACTTGTAATAATTTGTCCGTTTGACAATCCAACTTGTTCAAAGTCTGAGAGCATATTGATAACTGCTCAACTTAAAAGTATTGGAAGCGACAGATTTTTAAAACAAAAGGTGAGGGTGGAACAGGGCTTTGTTGTACCGGTTACGGGTTAAATTAATGCGGAAAACGAATAGGCGACGTAAAGATATGAATCCATGTTTTTGATTTGGTGGAGAGAGTGTGAGAGAGAGAAACGCCACCCACTTACACTACGAAAAACTGTGCTATATCTTCGAATGAAATTTCATTTTACAAACCATTATTGAAGGGTGGTAATTCAAAAGGGTAATACTACTGTATTACTTAATATGGTTAACCCATTTGTGCTTACCACGACATTGACACTTGGACGCTTTTGAATAGGTAATTCAGAATAACCACGCTTCAATTATAATTTAAGATTTATTAAAGTAAAAGGCAAATTTCTTATACAGGTACTCTAGAATTACCTTCTCAAGGTAAATCAATCAGTTTTTTTGTTTATAATTTATGATTTACCAAATATTAAGCAATGTTTGTAGAAATTGTTTACAATAAAATTGCCTGTATAAAGTTTCGTATTAAAACTTTGAATAACCTTGACATTGAAAGTCGTTTAATAAATCTTATATAACCATGTATTTTTTCATTCGGAAAAAATCCTATTTATTCGTGACTCCAAGATGTGTTTGCTTTGTCTATTTGCAAATAATAACCTAAATTTACACAGAAAATGTTAATAATTAATTTTAGCTTTAATCATAATAAAATTATATAATAAAGATTTAAAAGATAATTATTGGGTATATTATGTATCTAAAATAATGACCTGGATTTAAAATCATTATTGCAATGCCATTAAATTGTTCTATTATATTATATAACTAATTCATTTTTATAGTGACCCAATATTTTTGCAATACTGTTCAAATAAAATTAAATTACTATACAGTGCGATCGTAAACCCCCACCCTTTATTTTTAAGACCGGTATGTCAGGAATTACAAGATAAAAAGATCAAGATTTACATTTAAAACGTGTAATGACTATTTGGATAACGCTTATCGAAAAGGAACCAAGCGCCAAAAACTTTTTCTGGGCTTAGTAAAATTATTTAAAAAATAACTCATTTTGAATAACGCTCAAAAGGTTGATAATCATTTGGAACTTTTCTCAAATCATTATAAATTTTTTGAGCAGCATTAAAAATGAGTTATTTTGCAAATAATTTGCCTCAAAAACAGTTTTTGGCGCTGGTTCCTTTTCGATAAACGTTATCCATTTAGAACTCTTAAATTTTAGTATTTAACCAAGTGATCAATGATGTTACTCTTATCTCACTACTTTTTAGCGAAAATGTTTCAAAATGTGCCAATTAGTTTTCTTCCATCCTGTACAATCAGAAAAATAGGTAGTTACATATAATAAGCTTCGAAAAAAACTTTCAAATAATGTACGACGCCTACTTACCTACTCTCTTAAATGAATTAGTCAAAAATAACTAATTATAAGTCATATTTGAGTAATTGTCGTAGCAAAAAGCTGTAACTAATAATTATTCAAATTCTACATAATGAAATAGTCAAATTAGTAGATTTAAATTTAAAAAAAGTTCTGTGACCCAGCCGGGGTTTGAACTCGGGTCTTTCGCTTGTCAAGCGGATGTCTAACAGATGATCTTAAGTCACTTTTATAAAAAAAAATAATTTAAATTGTCTATAAATATTGTTAATAAAATTTTAAAGTTAAATATCTTTTTTGTGTTAGTATTTTGAGCTAAACTTTTTGTATCTTTGTTTGTTTTTATGGGCCATTTAACCAGAGCCTATATGCATTTAACTTTAACGATAATTTTCACTCTCAGAAACAGTCAAAGATGCTGACTTATCTTAAATTAGTCAACAATGCTGATACTAATTCAAATAGTAGAATTTTGACTATTTCACTTTATGAGATTACTTACCATACCAAACATCTCCACCAATTAAGTCAATCCGGGTAAATTTTGCGTTTTCAAGAATAGTTGGTTAAAAAAAGAATAAAGTAACGAGCTGGCAACATCGCATTATATAATTCATACATTTTTTTTATAACGAACCTCTTTGCTCTCACTCTCTACTATGTAAACCGAATATAACTCTCACTTCCAAGACTAATTTAATCCATTTCTAAGAATTTTTTTTGGATTAAACGTCCTTTTTGAAGGGATACTTTTCGATTTACACATAAAAATTTGACATTTGGGATTCCCAAGTTCGCTACTCTATTGTTTTATAGATGTTGATCTATACTGTTAAGACCCCCAATAAAACTATTCTAGAGAATGTACCCTTTGTGACATTGTGTGGTCCGTGGATTTGTTTTATAGCTTGTTTTGAGATTGAAACTGCTTTCGGCAAATTTTATAAAAGGAATCTTTATAAACCACCCTAATAAAATAAAAACTCCTTTAGCCGACAAAAGGGACAGGCAGAGAAATGGTGATGGTACAGAGTTTTCCTTTTGAATAATCGGCCGTAGCTAAAACAGAGTTTGTCAAGAATTAAGAGAGTAAAGTCGATTTATAAAAATGCATATATTTTGTTAAATAAATCTAAATTACTTAGGTAAATATAAAAAACGGTTTATTCCATCCCAAATTGTGACCCTAACAATACAAATATTTAATTTAAATAATTTTTAGATAATAATTTATTTTATCTTTTTTGCGTTCATAATGAGATACTTTATCCCACCCAAAATTTTGATTTTATAGGTTGGCTATACTTTAAGCATTATAATATTTTGCTATTGGTTATAATATTTTTATGATTTTTCTAGTACTTACGAGACATTTCTGGCAATAAATTTTGTTTAACACCAAAGAAAATCCTTTTTTTCTTCTTTAACATTAACAGCCGCTTATTGTAAATAAGTAAATTAAGGACGGCATGGCGAATCGATTTTGACATTAACTGTCAAACCAATGACTGTGATACCAACTATCTAAAGTAAAATTCGACCAAATTAAATTTAAAGTATAAAATTATTTTTTTATAGAATTTTTGTAAAATAGCATAAAGACTCATGTCATAAGACCTTTTTGTCACACTCGTCCATTACAAAACTTCGTCGCTCGTTTTATAAATTGCCCTCGAGCGATAAAATGACGTCTTATGACATTAGTTCTTTAATATACTAATACTAGTTATTTAATATTTGTTGTGGAAAAAAATTAAATTCGTAACTAAAATGGCGTTTATCAAACTTGGTACATAATATTAAGATCTTGCGGTTAGAATAGGTATATCAAACAAATTTATTTTATTTACAAGTAAAAATGGGTTTGTAAACTTACCCATAAAATTTATTATCGGAAGTACTAAGCGTTCACTTTATTGCGTATTATAAAAATGCAAGCCTTATTAATTAATTATTGATAAAATAAATTTAAATGCCGGATTGATTGATTCAAGAAGCTGTTAGCTAACTTCGTGCGAACTCAAGGCAAACGGCTTTACTGCCCAGTGATAAACCAGTCTCTAAAAGCCAGAACGTGAAATTAAGAAACAAGAAACGAGTCCCTTTTGTTTGTTTACACTTATTATAAATTCAGGAAGTTTTTGCTGAAAGGCAATGAAATTTTTAACCTAGGTCAAGCACAATTATAGTTGTGTTTTTATGAATTAAATGTGACATATTTAATGTTTGGTTTATTTATTCGAGATTCATAATTTTGGATTTAAAAGTTTGTCGTTATAAAGGATCCAGATAACATTTTACCTGCATAGCACCCGCACGCGTGCTTTTACATTGAGGGTTGCGTGAGTCCTCAATTGACCTGCAATATAGACGCACGCATAAGCTTATATCATTTCAAATGCTATCTGGGTAGTTAATATTAATATTAAAGAAACTATTTATACATAGTTAAGCAATATTTAATCAATTTAGTTCGAAGATTAATTTGCAAACAAAAAGACCTCGTTTTTTAACAGTGGAAGAAAAATAGATTTTGATTTATGGAGAAGCAGGCAGGAATCTTGATGAAGCTGTTAATATCTAAGCTCAGCGTTTTCCGTAAAAAAATCGATCACGTACTTCATTTCACCGTACTTTCAAGCAGTTTACTACAAACGGGAGTGTTCAACCAAAAAAATAAAACCAAGTATTTTACTCAAAAATTATTGGAGAATAGTATACAGAAGAAAAATCGAACGAATTTTAAACTTACCCCTGTTCCCCCTATAAGGAGGAGAGTATGAGGACCCACTTTAGTACTGATTGATTTCCTCCCTCGAATCATTTAATTTTTATTTTAAACATTTTTTCGTAAAATGCATAGTTTCAAAGTTTTAATTTAAATGAATCACCCTGTATTTTATTGCTTCCTGCTACATTTTTAGCAATTCAAAACCAAAGATTTTGGTGAAAATACAAAATTTTTTACACGTTCTTTGCTTGACAGTTTTTTCAATTGTCAAAAGTAGGAATAACTATTCGATAGATCCTATAATTTTTACTAGAAGTGTCAACAAAACAAAAATTACCAATTTCAGGACTTTTAGGTAGAAGGTCAGTTCCTACTATATTGTTACCACAATCTAAAAACTAAAGCTCGCTCCAGAACAACCATAAGATGATTTTGGTCACATTGATATAAAATCTTTGTCTCTGTTTGCTCAGTTTAGTTTGTAAATCCCTCGAACCATTTAATTTTTATTTTAAATTTTTTTTCGTAAAATGCATACTAACTGAGATATTTCAAAGTACCAAGTTAAATGACTCACCCTGTATATAAAAACGTTATTTAATGCACGAGAGAAGCAAATCTTCAAGCTTTTTACTTAAATTTAACTCACCTTTACAATAAGCTATTTTCATGATATGGATGGTAAAATCGGAAAGTCAGCTAATTTTAAAATCTTAGACATGTAATATACAATGAAAATTAAAACATCAATCACATTTTTAATGATTTGATTGTTGTTGATTTTTTTTATGTTAAAGGTTGTAAATTTACATAAATTCACATGCAAGCGACTAAATCAAGGATGTGGTTTTAATTACGTTAAAAAATTGCAAACAATATTTTTGTAATAATGATTTATTAAGAAACCTTATAATTTTTGTGAATTCAAGCAGTTTTATTAATAAAGGATATCCTGAAGTTTAAATTTTCGATAAATAATTATTATAATTAATTAATAAACCGCTTATGTGAAACATTTTATATGATTTAATTTTTTTACTTTTTAGGTTGTTTCCTTGGCTTTATACGTGTATTTTATTGCCGCCTTATTTGGACGTCAATTTATACCTTACGCAAAAGATGTGCCCAAGAAATTCGAAGAACCAGACATGTATTTCCCATTTTTTACTGCATTACAGGTTAGTATATTTAGTAATATTAAAACAAATATTAAATATTTAATTTGCTTAATCAATATTTACTTGATCCACAATACACAGGGTTTTCCGATATTTTTTCCTCATTTGTTTGTCCAATAACCGACGGCCACAGTTTGCGAAAACTTTTGCAAAACATAAACCATGTATACAGTGTTTCCCAAAAGTTAAAATGCTACCTTTATTATTTAAAAAAGTACGTACAGTTCATTTTTTTTATCTGGACTCGTGTTTTTTTGTTAGGTTGGTGGCTTATGCCAGTTTGACTTAGTATTTTTAGTATTTAAAAATGGTACTTCTGCTAAAGAATTTAATTAAATACTTTGACACTGTCAAATTGACAATAATATTTATTATTGATAATTTACTTGTCAATTATAAATTAAAAAATACTTATGCCAAAACTTAATTTTGATCAAATTATGCCAAATGCCACAATCGAAGAAAAAATGCATCGCCTTATGGACATTTTTGGAGTAAAAAAGTAACGAATTTGGTTTTATTAATATTACATCACACATTATTTTCACATTATTCACCATTGGAAAACATTTACGTTCACAAAAAATTTTAATTTCTTTTATATAAATTTTTTTCAAAGCGAAGATTATTATCCGCTAGGAATACTTTCTCTTCTGGGCCGGAAAGCAACCTATATTTAACTATTTTTTTATATGATTTTACTTATCCAAGCACCACAAAATCCAAATTAATTGCATTTCGAATTTCGACAACTGCACAATGTAACCTACAATAATTTATACCTACGATAATCATAATGTCTAGAGTCCCGTCAGACGGGTCTCCATTGCGCTCCCGTTAAAACTTTGTGACGTCACACACTGTAAATAGGTATTATTTTTCGAGCGATAGAATTATTACAATAAGCTCGGTAGCTCGATGGAAGGGCGCCTGCTTTGCATGCGGGAGGTACGGGGTTCGATCCTTCGCGCCTCTACAACTTTTTTTTAATTTTTTTTTAAAGAATTTATATACCGAAATAATACAATGTGGCATTAAAACCATTTATATTTAATTTTACAATAATATTTTAATTTATTTACCTTTCCTCATAATCATTTTGCTAGTTATATAATATAAAATGTAATTAAATAAATATTCCTTCGTTGAAAAATTTTTACTCAATGTGGCGGGGGGGGGCCAATGGGGCGGGGTCGGTTGGGTTGGGTTGTTGGGTTTGGGTTGGTTTTGAAGCGGGCGGACTCGGGACGTTGGTTAAGGAAGATCTGCTTCCCGTCCTAAGATTGCGTCATTTGATGACGTCACTCTGTTAACGGGAGCGCAATAGAGAACCGTCTGACGGGACTCTAGACGCGGCGTACAATAATTTATACATAACCACAATTAGATTTATAACTAGCTTAGTTTGTTTTAATCAATGCGACCAACTTGACAACTGTATTTACCAAAACCCTAAATTTGCAACGTTGCCGCAGTCCAGATAAAAAAAAATGAACTTTATGTATTTTCATAGACATATTTTGATTAAATGGCAACATTGGCTATTAATAAACAACAATATTAGAAACTGTCAAAATGAATTTACTAAATTCGTTACTTTAAGTTTAAGGTTATTTATTACGTCACTCTGGACAAAAGCAAATATAGGAAGTTTCTGTCAGGGACTAAATAAACCATAGATTTAATATATAAGCTAACTCTTTAAAAATTAATTAGGCAAAAATGACTAATAACTACAGTTATTAGTGGCTGCTTTTTCACTTGTACCATGGTTAACCATGGAATACCATGGTATCTCAAAATTTATAAATTTTCGGATTCAGAGGACAATTTTACATAAGAATTGGCTGTCGAAAATTATGAAAGTAGAGCAGTTTTTGAAATATAGTCATTTCCATATTAAATGGAAAGTTGACTATATTTCAAAAACTGTTGTACTGTTTTAATTGTTGGCAACATTTTCGGATTCAGGGGACAATTTTACATGGAAATTGACTGCTAAATGTTCGGGATACAAATTGCTGCTTTCTCGCATTTTTAGAGAGAAGACTTAAAAAATATTAACATTACACTAACAAGATACATATCACAATACTCACTAAAGTATACATGTCAATAATTTTAAGAAAAATTGTCTATGGTATAATGTTAACGTATAACAATCAACTAATTAATTAATTGTTATAATCAATTGTTGGCTCATCATGTTGCCAAACGCATATTATTAAAATAAAAATCCTAAAATGCATGTTCATATAAGATAAAACATTCCTAATAAAATCATTTTGCACCTTTATGTATAATAAGCTATATAAGAAAAAAATAATGAAGTTCGATTTTTTAGGATTACAGGGTGTCCCAAAAGGGTCCCCCTATATAATTATTTTATGCAAACCCAATATTGTTTCATTATACAAATATAAAAGTGCAATGTTACATTTTGCAATTATTTTTCTATTAATATACCTATTTAGTAGTCTTTTCTTGAAGTTGTAAATTTATGACGTTTAGTCATAGGCTGATGTTAGCAACAGGTTTTTAGTGACGGGCTGAAGTTAGTTAGCCGGCAGTAAACTATATTTAACTAAATTTCGGGTGAAGACTCCACCGATTGGCCATATGACATTTTGTACACTTTCACTGAGAAAACCCCTTGCTAGTCTATTTTCAAGGGATACATTTCGATTTAAAAAGACAAATTTGACATTTGACATTACGCCGGTAATACAGATTCCCATTTTTACGGTTACTTTATTTTTTTATAGATGGCTCCCTCAAAAAATATTTAATTTAAATCATTTTTGTATAATAATAAGTATTTGTCGTAGAAAAAGTATAGTATGCAACGTTTATAAACTTTTCTTGGCACTCGTGGCATGGCGTTTATGAAACTTGATACAAATATATTATTTAGTATGTATTTTATACGACTTAAATATATATTTATAATCCTCATCTTACTTATTACTTATCTTGCTTATTTTGCATCTCATGTATAAGTATAATTACCTACGCGTTATTATTGTATAAACAATAATAAGAAATAAATCTTATGCGCATTTGAGGTACTATGTATCATTCTATTCTTATAAGTTATTAATGGCATTTATCAGGAAAAAAAAGTTGTGGGGATAGTATGGCACGTCTTGTGGTGAAGTTAAAGGATTTTTGTTGGAAATCGTGTCAAAGACAATTTAAATGAATAATTTAAAATATTAAACACATTGTTATTAAAAGTAAACAATGCTTGATAACCATACTTAAGCTATAAGAAATTTGAGTAATTTTAGAACGCCAAAAAATTCACTTAGATCACACCTTAAACCTACATTGTTTGCTAAAGAAAGTTGAAACTAAAATAATTATTTATTTTTTTAGTTTTGTTTTTACATTGGTTGGTTGAAAGTGGCAGAGGTCCTGATTAATCCTTTTGGAGAGGATGATGACGACATCGAACTTAACTGGCTAGTTGACAGGCATATAAAGGTAATGACATTTTTTTATATTAACTCGATTGTAATATTATACTTCTTACTCTTCAAATTATTAATTTTCATTTGTAATAAAATAGGTATACCTATACAAATAAATATAAAAAATCTGACATCTGTTAGACAGTTCAAACCTCAATTTTCCCAATTGGTTCAAATCACAATGAACAGTAAAATCGGCCAATCACTGATCCCTAACAACGGGAATAATGAGTTAATTATTCCCATTGTTAGGCGGGGCGATTATAATGGTCACCATTATATACGAAAAACTCAAATGATGTCAATATTATGCAATGAGAGAAAAAAAATAATACTTATTTTTAAATTTGTCGGAAATTTTAATTTTACAATAATAGCAAGTCATTGTCCTACGCTGTACACTTAAATTGAAATTATTCTAGTACGTATTTAATTACATAACTTTATTTACTGCACAAAAGCAATTTTGTAATAAACAAAACATATTTCGATTTAGTTTTATAGGAAAAAAATAAACTGAATAAAAGTAATTGATTGCACAAGTCTACATAATGTTTAATTAAAATGGAACTAAACTAAATTTTTGTTGTTGATTGTTTCGACCTTTATTTGTTGAAACTCCATTTTATTAATGTATGAATAAAAAATACAATAAATAACTCTTTTAATTATTTAGATCCAACAATCCAAAAAAAGAATACACATTTAAAATTTTACACAAACCCAGCTATACAGATACAGTTTTGACGATAACTTTATAATCTTACATGTAGAAAATAAAGGCACCAAACTAAATCTTCTGGAGTCTTTGAAAGTTAATAAACTAAAGAAAAAATCGGATATTGTTCTTAGTGACCAAATTGAAACTAACTCTCCTTTGCTAAATTTATTTTAAAAATAAATATTATTTATTAATACTGTAAAACTATATTAAATAGGACTTTCCAAATCCATAGTTTTTCCAAAAGTTTAATTAATGATCCGGTATAATGTATAATATGTATAATATTTAAGTTTCCTTTGGTTAAAGTTTTATACATTATTTCATTCGGTAAAAATTATCGATTGCGCACCATGATCACTTTTTATCTGCCAGCATTAAATTCTTTAATATAAAGGTTTATTGTACTATTTTTAATAATAATACCTTATTTAAGGTAAAAAAAAACATTATTTTGTCAATTAATTTATTTAATCCTAATTGAGGTATACACTGTTCAAAATTTCATGACCATTTTAACACCAAATTAACACCATACGTGGTCTATATCGATACAAACCAAAATTGTGTTAAAAAAGGTTCGTTGGTCCGGTGTAAATTCAAATACTAAAATGGTGTTAATTTAACTTTCACACAGTATTAAAATAAATTTTACCTGGTATAAATTGAACTCCTTTTCAGTGTTAAATATTATGTGTTTGTGGTCAAATTAAATCATACTAAAAGGAAACAGGAAGTTCCTTGACGCATTACTAGTATTTTACCACTGGTATTATTCCAGAATGGAACCTTCAACTCGCTAGAGATAATGTTTTTAGTGCGTTCCACTAACTTAAAATACTTCAAGTATTGACAGCTGTTTCCACCTATTTAAGGTCTCTTTAGTATCGAACAACTTATAGTGTCACACCAAAGCAAAGGACCAACTGAGTTTATATATTCTTCATGTAAGTCAACAGAGGCGAGATCTAAGAACATAACGTGATCCACACCGCCTTTGCCGCGATCGGTACACATTTTCAACCATAATTCATGGTGTTATATTAACACCACTTGGTGTTGGATTTTGACACCATTTTAAGATTACTTTTTACACCACAGATATTTTAAACAGTGTAAAAAATGGTTAGTTATAAATAATATTTATTATTGAGGTATAAAGAAACCATTTAATTAATTTAATCAATTTAGTTCGAAGATTAATTTGCAAACAAAAATACCTTCTTTCGTTAAGAAGTTATTCGTAATGGAGTTTTTAACAGTGGAAGAAAAAATAGAAATGATTTTGATTTATGGAGAAGCAGGCAGGAATCTTGATGATGCTGTTAATATCTACGCTCAGCGTTTTCCGGATAAAATTCGATCACGTACTTCATTTCACCGTACAGTCAAGCAGTTTACTACAAACGGGAGTGTTCAACCGAAAAAAAGAGTTCGTCGAGCAACAGTCACAAGTGAAAATAATAAAATTAATGTATTAGTAGCAACGGCCGCTAATCCTCATGCAAGCACACGAGAATTATCTAGAGATTTGGGAATATCCCAGAGCAGTGTTAGCAGAATATTAAAACGAAATAAATAAATTTAAAAAATAAAACCAAGTATTTTAATCAAAAATTATTGGAGAATCGTATACAGAAGAAAAATCGAACAAAATTGATTTTTTTCATTACAGTGCCATCTATTACAAATATGAAAAAATGTTTTAGACAAAATCTACCTATTTTTAGTCGAATGATCCGAATCTCCAATAAATAAAATAGGGTGTTCCATTGGAAATTTTAAAGTTACCCCCCATTCCCCCTATAAGGAGGAGAGTATAAGGACCAATTTAAGTACTGATTGATTTTCCCCCTCGAATCATTTAATTTTTATTTTAAACATTTTTTCGTAAAATGCATATTTCAAAATTTCAAGTTAAATGACTATTTTATCGTATCATGATGCAACCTGCAGGTTTTCAAGAAATACTAACCCCAAAGTGGTAAACTCCTTTCGACATCTAGAAGTACCACTCTTCTTGTACATTCTAAGGTTCTATCAATGTGCTATCGTAAATCTTTGTAAAGGTATATTTGAATTTCAACCATAAAACGTTGAATACATTTTTTCGAGCTGACCTGGTATATTTAGTACAAACACCAAGATCATTAAAGGACTGTAAATTAGTTGGTTAGCAATAAAAATACCGACACAATAAAATTAAAAACCAAAACAAATCCAACATTTGCATCGCAATTTAGGCTAAACGTTGATCAGCTGAATAATCAAGAGAATCCTTTGCAAAAAGTGATTGTGCATGTATGACCCAGACCTCAACATTTATTATTTAAATGTTATTGGCTTTAAAGTATGCGCTTTATGACGCCGCAACAAAACATAAATTAAACAGACTACAGAAGAAAAAAAAACGTCAGAAATGAATTTTTTGCGAGTATTATTAACCTTAACATTATATAAAGAATTGTGTGGATATGTCAAATAAAATCACGCATCAGTCTCGTGAAAAAATTAAAAAATTACTCCTTGCAAATATACAGGGTACCATAAAAATTCAAAAAAAACTATTCCTTATTGGGACACCTCTTATAACATGCTTTTGATTGATTTTATAGATAGCCAACCTAATCAGATATTTCATTTAAATAGAAAACTATTAACACTTTATTAAATTATGTCAAGGATCCTACATCAACCAAATTTTTCATATACCAGTAGCTTAATGGGAACATTGACATTAAATTAATTTTAATTAAATTAATAAATCTCAAATGAAAATCACTTAATATCGTCTTAACATTGATTTATTATGTTTATTACGATTCCATAATTATTATAATTACATCAGTAAAATATTTTCTATTATTAATATCCAATATCCAACGCTTTTTAATTTTTATGTTTCTTTACACACCTTGAAACATCGATAGAATTATGATGATTATTGAATTTGCTAGCAATAGTCGTAAATATTAAAATAAAAAAAAGTATAATTGTTTTAATAGCCATAGCCAACCAGGAAACATTGTCATTATGTCATAAAAATTATATGGTAAAATAGACAGTTATCGGACACTTTATAGTTATTGGACAATTAACATTAATACTGTAAAAACAAGAGTTCTAAAAATAGTTACCTTAAAGTCAAATCATTAGATGACACTGTATACAATTATAACTATCTCAGTCGGTAATAATATAGAACTAATTTATTTTGGGTCCAATATAGGACAAAAAAGTTCGCACGTTACTTTGGTGGTAAGATTTTTGTTTTTTTGTTAGGAGCAGGGCTGTGATTAAATTACAATAAAAAATATTTCTAAAAAGTCTACAGATCAGTGTGTGGTATAAATGTGTTCATCATTGTCACTTTAATGTTTTAATTTTAATTCTGAAAACAAACAGTAAAATGGCCAGTGTCCAATTACTGTTTGGTGAAAAATGTAAATTTCTATTATTGGAATATGTCCATTATCATACTCTATTTATATTCCAGACATTTACAAGCCAATTCTTATATAAAATTGATGAATTTGAAAAGACTATAAAAAACTATAAAAGTTAAGTAGTTTTTGAGATATAGTCAATTTCATATTATATGTAAAATTGATTATATTTCAAAAACTGTTCTACTTTTATAACTTTTGACGACATTTTCGGATTCAGCGAATAATATTTCATAGGAATTGACTGCTAAATGTCCGGGATACAAAGTGCTGTTGACGAGAAATATTAGTGGCTGCTTTTTCGCTATGACATTTTTGACTAATTCATTTTTAGAGAGAAAGTAATGTAGTGATTTCTTCGTCACAGAACATCTTGCAGAATAACCGTGGTTTAAATACAGCGCATGATGATAGAGAACATAAAAAAGTAATGGCAACAAAATTAATAAATTCGGAAAATACTTTTAACATATCACCCGAAAAAATATTAGATATGCTGTATATATAAATCATCCTGTCCTAAACATTATAAATGCTTCACAAACTAGAGATACCACACTTAACAAACTATTTCAGAAGTCCAAGGAATTACCTAGTAGTTACCTTCAGAATCCAGAAAAGGGATGAGGAATCCGAGAAAGAAATATATGAATATGATATTTACAAAAACGAAATAAAAAATTACCTAAAACAGCAATTTATCTTTAAAAAATATTTAACAATTTATGTTATTTGATGTAAAGTTGTTATGTTTATATAAAAATTGTATGTCCAATAACTATGGTCCATGTCTCCAATTACTATATAAAATTTCCAATTAGTATACTTTTTTTATGTTTTTATAAAACTATTATTAAAAATTCAAATATTCTTATTTTTAAGTAAACGTAAATAAAGTTTAAACAAACTAACCTTTTTATATATTTATAAGAAAAACACTTAAATCTTTAAAACATAACCTATATATTTTTAATTAAAACATAAGGGAACTTTTTTTTACAATGCCTTTACCCACCGAAAAATCTATTTCAATGCACGTAGAGCGAGGCTAAAGTGGCCTAAATATTTCGTCTAAAGTTGGCCACTTTCGCCTCGCTTTACAGGATTGGCAATGCCAATTTGGCATTGGATCTTAGATAAAGGTATTGTGAAAAATAGCATGCATGCAACTCTGCCAAAAATGCAATATACTATTGTTCATAGGTTTAATTGGTTTTATAAAAACTACAATTTATGTACCAGAGAATTGCTCTATTAATTCTGAGCTCATTAAAAACCTAGGAATGTATAGTCTGATATCAACAATATAAGAACATGTGCTACCATAAAAAAATTAAAAAACCCTTGAGTATGAGTATAAGTATAAGAACTAGCTAACCCCACCGACAACGCCTTACACTAATCTCCCAGGGTTATTTTTACCAACTTTCAGTTCTCATAGGTATCCCACAGCATTTCCTGTGTTTGTTGGATCAAAATTTTCACCTCGGCTGGTAAATTTGGAGGCCGTGGATGAAAGTTTCGATGGTTAAGGCCCCTCTTGGAATTTTGTTGCCGGGCCGGGCCATACCCCCGTTTTAGGCTAGTGAAATGCGGGACAATCCCTAAACTAGGGATTCAGTACTATTCCTATTCAATTGGGGTTCATGAATGGGGTTTGGGTGATTAGTTCGCTGCTTGGACCTATTCTTGATGATCTTAAAGTACTATCTGATCGTTTGCCTGCTGAAAATGACTGTGCTGAAAGTTCGGGCATTGCAATCCGCAATTGTTTACTCCACTGTGCAAAACCATTTCTTCAGTCTAGGGTCGAGAATAGTTTTGTATAGAATAGTTTTGTATACAACGAATTATGCAAAAATTATCTGTGCGTTAGCTTTATTTCAGTAAAGACTTTTGTGGTGTGTTGGCATGTCAGTTGCGTATCACGGCTGTTTGTTAAGTTTTGATACTTGTGTATCTTTTGTATCGATTTATATTACAAATAATTACTTTTGCTGTCCTGTAGGAATTCTTTTTTTCTTGTTTGGCTGTTTTGTTTTTTTGGTTAAGATGCGTTGAAGACGCTTAACCTCTTCGAGAAAATGCAAGATTACTTTCTTAGTTGAGAATGCGAATTTATCTTTTATTGATACTGTCCCCTTGACCCTCCCTTTGGTTCCTTCGGGAGACTGGTACATTGAATTCACCTGCACAGGTGTTGCCACTGATTTATTACATTCTTCACTTGTTGTAATGCACTGAACTACTCTATTAGCGCTTTTCTGATTCTGTAAGACATTGGGAGACAGGTACCTTGATTTACCTGCACAGGTAGTGGCTCTGGGCTCTAATTTCGCACTGTATACACTTAAATATGCCCAAACAAACTTAACTTTACTGTGACCGATTTATTATTACTGATAGGCTTTTATTACTTCCTTACTCTTTAGAAGCGATCGCTTGCGCGTCTGCATCTTATGATTTCTCAAGTCATACTGTTAAAAAACACTTAGAGGTATCTAAAATTATAAGCAAGGATATTATCTGGGAATGATTCTGTAGAACAACTAGCTAAATCAAATATTTTTTCAGGCCAGCTACATGATAGTGGACGAAATGCACGAAGAGCATCCGGAACTTTTAAAAGACCAATACTGGGAAGACGTAGTTCCAAAAGAACTCCCCTACACCGTGGCCTCAGAACACTTTAGAAAGGAAGAACCTAAAGGCAGCGCGGAAAATTACAAAGTCAAAACAACTGACGCAATGTACGCCAATTTGATGACGCCGCTCAAGAAAACTTTGGTCGACGATATGTATGCCGATTATGTAAGTACCAAGATTATAAAGTCAGATTTGTTTAAGGTGTATCAAAGACTTTGCCGGATAATAATTGCTCTTTTGATTGTTTTAGGAAAGTGTGGACACTCCTATAGTACAAAGACGTAAAAGTTCGAATTGGTTCTCAAGGCAGATTTCACGTACGGGGATGGGTTCTATACGCTCTGCATCTACGGCGTATTCCTCGGGAGGTCTTTTTACAAGACATCGTGGTAATTCCGTGTACGCCAATCCTGAGAATGGACAGTTACCCGGGATGCCTTTACAGAAGATGTCTATCTATGATAGGCTAGTTGGTAGGAGGTCTGGAAGAAACAAGAATATGCCTACCAGAAGTAAGTTGAAATGTAACTCAATTTAAATCTTTAAGTTTTTTGAATGGGCTTTCTATGAAGTGTGCTGTAGTGTTCTATCGAAAGTATAAAGAAACTTCCTCCTGAACTAAGTTATCTTTACAAAAATAGGGACACATCATGGATAATTTACAAATTCCCTCTATTGGGCTTATATTTCAATTAAAATTAAGTTATTCTTTAGTTGCATCTATTCATTAGATGTATTAGTAACGGTTGAGGGAAATATTTAAGTAAAAATTGTTTAAGTGCCTAGGTGTAACTAATTAAAGGTCAGTTATACATACAGCAGTTGATATTGAAATTATAACGTGGAAAACTACTAAATTGGACAGGTATTCATTGAAATTGTTTTACTTATAGGTTTGTTTCAAGTTCGAAACGAATTCTTTTAAAAGTGTTATAAAAATTACGTAGACGTAATGCTGTTAAAAAGTATTATTTTTTATTAAATAGGTTATATTATTGAGTTAAAAATCTCAAAATAATTACACAGGTCTACAAAAACAACATAAACCAGGCTTTTTTTTGAAGGTTTAAGACGTGCTGAATCCAAATTTGATCCCGACACAAGTTTTCAAGAAATTGTATCCCAATTAGAAAATATTTTTTTTTTGAATTTTAAAGTTACATTAAATTACAAAACTCGTTGCATAATCTAAAAGTATTATTCTTCCCCTATCACATTCTTTTTTAAAATAATTTATTTATTGTCTCATTCTATATTATATGGTGTTAAAGTTTGGTACAGAGGGAAAAAACAACAAAGAGTTTTTGTACCTTTTTTCTTGAATTTTTCTGAATTGACTTGACAAATTAAGTAAAATTTAATAAAGCCTATTCATAATACTTGTAAATATTGAAAAGATTATTTAAGTTTTGCAAATTATCATTAGGGACTTAGTTTTTGATTTTGCTTCATGGGATGTACGGGATAGATGGAAAAAATTAAAATGATAATATTTATATATTTTTCTTTATATTTTATTAAATTTTAAATTCAAAAATTAAAAAACATTAACAATGAACAGATTCTTTAACACATCCTACGTATTTAACACTTGTTAATATTAACTATTTTCAAGGTAGGTACTTAATTCAGTTTGACCCATTAACAGTCTTTGGCTACCAAGTGCCTTGAAAAATTGGCAAGATTTAAACCCTTTCAATGAAGCAATATGGTTCCAACTTCAATGGCAGCACTAGAGAAAAAAAAACGTTTGTTAACGTAAACTTGTTTTTAAATTTTGCCGCGCACCCATCAGAAAAAATGTCAATTTTATTTAGATCCGAATGATTTTCCTCCAAAAATATCGCGTGAGCTTCTCGTATAGCCATTGACAAGTGCTATTTTTGAAGCTTAGCCTTGCCTTCTTCAGTTTTTACCGAAATCCCTAAAGTAAAATTGTTGTACCTCCACTAAATGTTTGTCCAGTACCCTACAACATTTTTATTTGGATCTTTAGGTTCTACATTTAAAGCTAATTTTTTTCTTCTTGTTTTCTTTTAGCTCTTGAGATTGCTAGTATAGAATCGTCTAAAATTTTTTCTTAAGTAAAGTAAAGTTTTCTAGATTTTCTTTTAGTTTTTGTCTTTGCATTTTTGCTCGTTGTCGTTCACCTTTTTTTGTAAGTATTTTTTTTAAAGGAGTTAAATATTAGGATGGTCGGGACAATTGGTATGGACAGGATAAATTTAATTTACCGTCTAGTATAAAAGCAAGTATTTTTTATGGAAGTAATAACATAAAATGTTTTGTTGGCTAGTATATAAACAATATTTAAAAAATTATTGTCGCCCTAATCTCTAAAAAAATATTATACTTACCAGATTTGTAACAAACTTAATGAAAAATTATCGATTTTACTTCCAGTTTTGGCACAATTAAACAATAAACAGAACGACAATAGCCCACTGTGAAATTTTAGACAATATTCTGGCTAAAAAGCATTGAATGGACATGCTTTTAAAAAATACATGCAATTTATGTTACTACCTGAAAACAGGAAGTATTTTATAAATTTTCTTAAAATTAATATTATACCCAAGCAATATGTAAAAGAAGAAGTAATTCGGAAATGTCTTATTTTTCTTGCGTAAAATGGCCGAATAGCAAATTGCTAGTACTGTGTAATTTACTACCTCAACCCTTACTCTAAAATATAAGTTCTATCGATATTTGTTTTTTAGATCCAAAGTTCAGTGGAGCTGCAGCAATGCAAGTAAAGAACCGACCGAGGATACCAACTCCGGATGTGACCAAGGAGGTAGTGGACCGTGAGAACCGCTTCGTGACATCTTCGAGCAGCACCCACACCCAGATTCCATCAGGCCTCACCCTGATGCACCCTCAAATCCCGGCATCGTACCAATCGTACCCCGGAGGAGAGCTCCCTCTAGTTCAGGTAGTCCTCTCACCGATACAAGAGTCAGACGGCACCAACTCCGTAAACAACACCCTGCACGCCAATCAGCCGGGCACTGCCGCCCTAGCACAGGCTGTCCTATCGCCGGGGCTAGGCCCCGTGCTCACGGCACCGGTCAGCGTACCCATGACAGTAACCCAACTAACCTCACTAGGTCTGACCTCGATGAACAATAGTCCACTCTTAACGCACACCAGTGTGGCCGCACCAAGAAACCCCGCTTTTATTCAGGCCTTCGACATGACCTCTTCGCGGACGCTGACTCTCACGGAGATGCCTCTCGACGACCAAGAGCACCAACTGAGCAGCAGGCAGAGCGATGACTCCGGGCATTCGGAGATTTCGCATGTGTCCAAGGAGTCGACGGTCTCTATAACATCGAGAAAGTCTTCGGAGGCACCTGACACACCAACGATTAAGGAGGAAAGTCCCACTTTAACACCCAGTGCGTCAGCGCCGAATTCTTTGTCTTCACTTGCAGGCCAGGATCTGTCCAGGAGCAGAAAGGTCTCGGCTGTCTCGACGAGCACGCCTCCAAAGAGAGGGGAGGTTTATGTTTGATAGTTATGGAATTTTAGGTAGGAACAATTACTTAATTTTGGTTGATTGTGAAGTGCAGAAAGACTGGTATTGAAATTCGCAATGGTATTGGAATGTACAGATTCTCTATATAAGAATCATGATCTTGTGATATAGTGTATATTATTTTATTTTGTAATTAATATTTATATATAAATTAGCAAAACAAAAAAATAATTTTAGATTTGTAATGAACATATCAATGCAAAACAATGTTTTGCAGGGTTAACAAGTAATATTTTACATAGTAGAGTAGTTCAAGTAATACAATGTAATAATTTCATCCATAGTTTAATGAATTATAGATTTAGGATCTTTCCATCTCAAATCGACCGGGCAAAAAGGAAATTTTTTTACAGTTTATCTACCAAAATCGATGAGATTTTTGCTTAAATTTTTAGATTTTTTGACATTGACACATTTTTTTTACTTTATATTTTTTTCGTTTAAAGTTGATAGTATGAACAACTTTCACCAAAAGTTTCGAGTTGGCTAAATTCGTCATTTCGAAATTTTTATTTTTTAAAGGATTATTTCCCTCATTATAATATAAACCAAACAAAATTTTTTAAAAAAACAATAAAAAATAAGTTATCTAGTTTACGAAATATCAATTATTACTTATTACATACCCTAAATTAATGGAATTTTCTTTAAAAAAATATTTATAAATTTTGACACATACGTCAGATTTTATGAATTGTCAAATAGTTTCCTTTAATTCGAGAAATAATCTAGACGTAACACTCAACCTATAAATTTAATCTGTCAAACTATGCTCAGTAAGTTTTTTATTTGATTTTTCTTTTTGGAAAATAGTTTCATGCAAAATAATTAAAAATATTATAAATTATTAAATTATTTTGCATTCAACATTTTCCAACAAAAACCAAACAAAAAACTACTGAGCCTAGTTTAACCGACTAAATTCATAGTTCTCGTGATATAATATATGATTATTTCCCTCAATATAATATGAACCAATCAAAAGCCTTGAATTTTCGAATAAATTTCGTTTAAATAAGCAATTAAATCACTAGAACTATTTAACAGCGATTAAATTTTAGCCTCCATATTGGATTTTTGTTTACGATTTTATGGTGTTATTTACAAGTTTTAACAAAAATTTTTTTTAAACAATAAAAAATAAGTTATCTAGTTTACGAAATATCAATTATTACTTATTACATACCTTAAATTAATGGAATTTTCTTTAAAAAAATATTTATAAATTTTGACACATACGTCAGATTTTATGAATTGTCAAATAGTTTCCTTTAATTCGAGAAATAATCTAGACTCACTCAACCTATAAATTTAATCTGTCAAACTATGCTCAGTAAGTTTTTTATTTGATTTTTCTTTTTGGAAAATAGTTTCATGCAAAATAATTAAAAAAATATTAAATTATTTTTCATTCAACATTTTCCAACAGAAACCAAACAAAAAACTACTGAGCCTAGTTTAACCGATTAAATTCATAGTTCTCGTGATATAATATATGAAAATGCCACTTTTTAGTAAATTCGTGGAAGTTTAGTTTAGAACCTTTTTGACATATTTATTATATTTTTGTTACTTCTGCTTTCACCGGAAAAGCTATTTGGATGTGTTACTTTTACAAGATGTAAAAAGTATACGAAAGTTAATTTTGGTTAAAATAATAAAAAGTAAGTATAACATACCTAAAAGTAAGGAATCGAAAGCAGAAGAAACTTATAAAAAGGCGATTTTAAAGAACACAAACAAAAATTTTGGTCGGTTAACAGATATGAGTGAGGCAGTCGCGGAACTGTTTTTGACTGAGGCTTTATGAGAAAGGAAAATAAGTATTAAGCCTAAGAGATCCAGAAACTAATGCGCAGATTAATTATGTTAAGAAATTACAAATCTTCATTTGATTTCATATTTTGTTTTTTTATTTATTGCCAGATATTCCCTGCAATGCACTATGGGGCGGTTAGATATAACTTTTAATAATCGTTTTAAAATATTTGAATGATTTTATTTAGTAGTTTTAAAACCAAAAAATGTTAAGCAATAACTTAGACCCCTTTGATTCTAACCATCTCAATTTTTATTTTTATTTTATTTTATAAAAAGTTTTAGCTTATGTTTTCATAGTAAAATAAAATGTTAATATTCATATACCAGCAAAACAAACTAAAGCACTGTCAAATTGGATACTCCTTTTAAACAAAAAAGGTTGTACACACTTAAAACCTAATAAACATTTAAATTTAATTACTAATTTTTTATTAAAAAATGCAATAAAATTTGGTATTAAATTTAAAAAAGTAGATTTCTTTTATGGTTCGTTCTTTTATTAAAAACAAATAGTTCTTTTATTACAAAAAATATTTTTGGCATTGCAAAAAAAGAATAAAATTGTATTTATTCAGACTACTTGGCTCAACCTGAAGCAGAAAAGCCAATTCAAGGCCCTCTAGATATTTATATAAAATTTAATTAAAAAATGATTTGACCTGTCAAAAATTGACAAATGACGTATGTAAGTTTTCAGAATTTTATTTTTAATCGAATTATGTAAAAATGCATAGGGTGTTACAATATAAAATAAAAAGTTAATACCAAGTGACAAAAAAATGTTAAATATGTCAAAAAGTTCTAAATTACACTTTATGAAAGTCACCCTAGATAAAGTACCAAATTTTTGCGATGAACCACGAAGTTACTAGAAAATTATTTTATTAAAAAAATAATAATTCCGAAACAACAAATTCAGCCAACTTGGGACTTTTGGTGAAAGTTGTTTATATTATCAACTTTAAACGAAAAAAATACGAAACAAAAAAAATGTGTGAGGCAATATCAAAATTTTTACCTCAATTCTTTTTTGCCTTTTTTAGAAAAAACAACTTAAAAAAATTGAGTGAACTCACTTTTTTATATATTTTTTGTAAGTAGTAAACATTTACTTACAATTTAAAAAAAAATCTAACCATCAAAACATTTTTGGCTAAGTTATCGCATTTTCAAAAAAAGTCAAATAAATATAGAAAAATCGATGATTCTCTCCATTTTTCAAAATATCCTATGGGTAAACAAAACAAATTTCCTATGGGTAAACAAAAATAAAAAATACGAGTCTCATCGATTTCGATAAAGAAACTGTAAAAAAAATTCGTTGAAAAATAACGATCTACCCCTTCTTGCCCCGTCGATTTTCTTTATTTTAAATGTTTTTGATAAAACCCTTGTGTAAATAATTTTATTATAATAATTGTGTTTCGTATATTATAATAATGTATGGTCCTTAAAATATTGGTATTAAAAACAAATTTTAAGATAATTATAAATAAAATATTTAAGTTTGTTTTAAATGTTCTTACTCATAGGGTGCTAAATTATGTTATATATTTTATATTTCAATAAATACTGAAATTTTTTCACAATATTTTTATTAAGTGGTACTTCCCAGCGCATCCGCCATTTTTGCAATTTATAATAACAGTCCACCTTATTTAATGCCTTTAAGTACCATAAACATATCTATCGTAATGAATCTCAGGGCCGAGATACAAAATAGTTACTTTATCGGTCGGAAATGGAGAATCAAAATAATTTATTACAAAAATGTCGACATAACCGAACCGATAAATAATAAATTCTCGCGATCCTATTTATATAAAGATGTCATTTCAGGGACTATAATTTTCAAAGATCGTGAAAAAATCGTCAGTTTTTATCTGCCACAAGTTAAACAGGAATACGGAACGCTGTTGTCCAGTAACGGTTTATAATTATATACCTTTGGTAGTATTAAGTTATCCTAATTAGATGGTTCAAATATTGTTAGGTATTGATCTCAAAATAGATAAATATACTTAAAAAGAGTAATAGGTACTGTGACTTATTTATGGTCTAAAGGAAAGCACAAATAAATTTTAAGATATTTTAATTCACCAATTCAGCAATACTATTTAATTTTTTTTTAAGACCACGGCAAATTACTAAAATAGAAACAATCGAGTTTTATAAAAACTCCCTTTTTTGGACAAAATAAGTTGATCAATCCAAATTTTACAATTAAACTCCTTTTGCTCCATTGACGTAGAAATTTAAAAGGTTTAAGTTCTATGCCTATTTATATGCCTATACAGGGTGGTCCAGGATTAATCTGAAAAATTTTAATGATCGATAGAGCCTGAAAAAACAATAAAAACAAACTCAAAAACATTTTTTAAAAATACACACTAACACACTAATAGCCCTTCAAAGGCAAAAAAAACGTTTTTTTTTAAATAACTTCTGCTCAAATTTTGTGTACCCAGGTAAAATTTCTTACAAAAGGCCCAGCGGCGGATATTTTGTGGGGGTTTCCCCTTTTTACCCCCATATTTCGACACCACTGGATTTTATTGGAAAATCATCAGATTTCTTATTCAATTTAGAAGCCAAACTTGTGAGTTAAATTTTCATAAGATAATTGTTTTCGGAGACTTTAAAATTTCAAAAACACCGAGTACACGGTATTTTATCATATTTTATTTTAAATCGGTAACTTGGTAACAATTATGCCACGTTATCAGTTTATAAAATATTATAAAAATAAACTAGTGGCCAGGAGTCATTGTGCAGTTGTTACTGATCCCGTCATATTTTTAGGTTGTTTTATTGTAACGTTGATTGAGGATTACAATCAACGTCTGTAATTAATAATTTAATTGTATTATAATACAAAATCAAACCAACCCAAAAACCACCCTATTGAAAGTGATTATTCCATAATTTCATTGGTAAATTTTTATTGGCCCAATACAATCGTTCAGAAAAAAAATAATTTTTTATTACTAAAATAATAACAAAAGTTCCGTGTACACAGTGTTTTTGAAATTTTAAACTGAAATATCTCCGTTAATCTGATAAAAAATAAACATAAAAGTTTTGCTTTTAGATTGAAAAAGGATAAAAATAAATCTGATGATTTTCTAATAAAATCCAGTGGCGTCGAAAATATGAGGGTAAAAAGGGGAAAACCCTCCCAAAATCTCCGCCACTGGGCCTTTTGTAGAAAATTTTCATTATATTATCGACGGAAGCTTAACCTACACAAAATTTGAGAAGAATCGGTTTAATGGTTTAAAAATTATTTTGAAGGACTATATCTCCGTTAGTATGCATTTTTGAAAAATGTTTTTGGGTTTGTTTTTATGGTTTTTTCAGGCTCTATCG